GGGAGGTTAACGATGACAGACTTTAGACGGCAGACGTTGACGGGCGGTGGCCGAATAATTAGATTTTTTTCGACCAAATAATTTAAATTTATATTTCTAAATGTACTTAAAACAAATCGTTAAAATTTTTGTAAATAGAAAAGCGTCGAGTTATATATTATTGCATTATATTGGAAGCTTATTTAGTTGACATACAAGGATATGCAAGTACATGAATAACAGAGCTTGTTTGTGAATAAGTGAAGATGAAGAATCTCTTCATCTCTTAACTATTATCTCATTTAGAAAATTCTTATCTTCCTTATTAGTTTTATTCTCTTTATACATTCATTATAACATTCTATTAATTAGAGCACATCTTCATTACTTTCAATCTTATAGTGATGTTCTCTGACCATCGAAATTATGTTTAGAGTGCGCTCAATCATATTTCTCTAATGATATTCCTATGGTTTTGTGAAATCTCATTGAAATTTCATTTAAAGAGTTTAAATGGCACTCATTTTTAAGAAAGTCCATTTATATTAATATATCCTAGTATTTCATTTTGTGTGCAATTTCATAAGTAATTTATCAACGCCGAGCATATTTTTTTCCACTAAATGCAAATTATAAATGCATTTAAATGCGAAACTTTGCCCTCTAATGTCCATATTTAGTTGTTTGCAAATTTTTGAAAGACGATATAAGCAAACAAATAAATAAATAAATAACTCCTAATTTTTTCAGAAACACCAACAAAATTATTATAAATTTATATACATTTATTTAAAATTATACGCAAAGGAATACAAAATTCCTAATACATGCAACCAAATATCTCCCTCGTTATAATTCGGCAAATGTTAGATCAACTAATAGTTTAGATAAAGACTTTCTCTAATTACATTGAAGCATATTAATTTTACATTAATTTGGCTTGCCATAAACACTAAAATAAAGTGTATGATAGTTTATCAAAATAGACTAAGAAAATTCATGTGTTATATTTTTATTTTCTCAAATAACATTAAATTATAATTTTAATTTGTAGATAAATCTATAAAAAAATTTTAAAAAAATTATAATAAAATGTATGATATGAGAAAAATATTAAAAAATTTATGAAAATTAATACATAAATATAAAAAAAAAATTAGCATATATTAATCTTTTATGGACATGAAGAAAATTTTGATATTGTGGCAATTATTTATGAATGATAATTTTATATGCTTACAAATGAATTGTAAATGTTTTTTTTTTTATATTAGAATAATTAATTAGTTAAAAAATAATAATGAGTTCATTTTTCTTAGTAAAAACAAGTTAGTCTATTTAAATTTCAAAAATATCCAAAACTATGAGAAATATATGGGGATTTCATGTAATTAGCTTCATGAATGATGGTATTGCATTGATTAATTAAATTAAACCAATAGCTTCTGATGATCCCTCTTTAATGTAGCATTTATAATTAAAAGAAACATAAAACAACATAATTTACTTATAGAAAGAGAATATGCGCAACACATACGAGTTATTTAAAATCAAAAGATTGGGAACCGGACAAATTGATTAGTCATGATGCACCTTATGACTAATTAACACAAGATACACATTAAGAAAAAAAATTAAAGATGAATAGGGCCAATAGGACTGGCAAGAAAATTAGAAATCTGATATCTCAACATACAGCTGGCAGCAAGCAATTGGCAATATGGGCCGGTTCCGCCACCACAACTTCGTAAAATATTATCACTCATAATAGCCTTCGTCAATAAATTAATGCAGTAGTTGCATTCTAACGGTTGGAGATCTCCCGTGCACTGGACCATTCCAAAGATTGTTATGTGGTTCAGTAAATCAAGACCTGCCATTGCTCCAAACCTATTAGATGCTGTCATCGCTTTCATGGTAGCCATTGTCAATACTTTCTTCACGGTTCCCACGTATTCAGACTCATACTTCCAATAAAAGACGGCATTTTCTGCAATCCAACCATGGACGGGACCCTTGACTACCCCCTTAAGAAAATTTGTGGAATCGTAGCGAAGGAAGCAAAGGTCGTACCAAATTTCCGCTCGGGAAAAAAAAGGGCAATCCTTTTTTATTCTACGTGTCGCTTCTAAAACGCATGCCGAACAGTTCTTCCGTGTAATGTCCCCTCGGCACTGAGCGTGGCCATAGATTGCATTTGAATCACTGCGAGCAACGTCGAAAGCGTAGTAATTGGGACTATGCCTAATCTTTTGTACCATATTAGAAAGTACGCGGTTGACGTTCATTTCCAGCTCATGGTCGCCGAAGTTCTTGAATAAAATGTCGCAATCCCGCACTGGAAATCGACGAAATTGAGGGGCACATTTCCCAAATACTGAAAGGTGGAAAACCAAAAAGATGAATAGTTTGCGTGAATTTTTCATCGCTATTTTTGCTTCCCCATGATTTAATTTGCTTGCTTTTTTATAAGGAAAGAAATGAAGCAGACTCCAATGCTGCGCCGGCCTTCCGCTAAAGTCTGGCAGCTTTTTATTTTTATTTATTTTATCTTATTTTACGTTTGACATATGGATGTAAGAAAGCAATGGAATTAATGATTCCATTTGACAACACAAAACCGCAGGTTGGTGATGCCCAAAGTATACGTCTACAATAACTAGAAAACTATTGATAATATAATTAAAGCTAATTGGTAATAAAAAATCTACATTGCCTAAATATTATTTATAAAACATATAATTTATATTATCTTTTAGTTTCACTACAAAATTAAAATTTCATCTAGTGTCTATTATTTGATATGGCATTGCCTGAGCAACTTTTTTCTCTCTTGCTCAAATTTTTTAACAATATTAATAGGCCGTTTTTCTTTTCTTTTCTTTCTTTTTTTTTTCTTTTTTTTTTAAATTAGTTTGCTTTTACATAAATTTTGGTAAAGAATGTAAATATATTGGAATTGGGCGGTGAGCATTTAAATGCTCCAAAATTTTAATGGATAAATCACTGCTACGAGAAAAACGTGATCAGGAAATATTTTTTTTTTCTTAAATAAGAAAAATTACTTGTAAGAATTTAAATTAAACGATAACGTTTATATATATATATATATATATATA